GAGATTGATTCTGGAACTCACGAGTCCTGAGACTGGAGGAGACAGACAGAAAAGGAGAGACAGAGATGGAGTAGTTTCAGGTGTCCCCACCCCCACCACTACAGAGACTCAGAGATGCTGAGGCCCTGGAAGTGGAGAGGTCAGAAAGCCCCAGAAACCAGGCAAGGAAAGCTCAGAGGCCTTGGGCCAAGGGAAACTGAAATCCAGGGATCTTGAGCTTGGAGATGGGGTAGGGGAGACAGAGAAATAGAGATAGATGATAGATAGACAGACAGACAGATAGATAGATAGATACTCTCTGAGGAGAGACAGCAGGGGCAAGCCGGAATGGGGGGTCCCCTGATGAGGACTGGGGCTGTAGCCAGGCAAGGGGCGGAGCCTGGGGTCTGGGCAGCTGGAGAAGGCGGGAAGGGGCGTCCCGGGCCAGGGTCCCTAGAGCAGCGGGCGGGCAGGCGCAGAGCAGAGCCGGGTCCTGCAGCCGCCGCGGAGCCGGGAGCGGGGCCAGCCCCCCCCCCCGCCGTGATGTCAGCGGGGCCACTCTTAAAGGGGCAGGCCGCCCGCCGAGGGTCGGAATTTGGGCTGGGGCCTCCAGGAGCCGGATAGGGGTAGAGAAGTGGTGATGCGGATGAAAGCGACAGCTTCAGCATCGAGTTGGAGCAGGACTCGGAAATCCAGAGAAGAGGAGATGCCAGGCCCTCAAAGGAACCTGCTAAGCTTTTGAGGCGCTGTCCCCTCCAAACACACTGACAGGCACACCATCCTGCTGCCCTGCCCTATCCAGAGACTACATTCCCCATCAGCCCTGGCGGCCAGAGGCCAGCACCTGGTGGGGGGGTCAGGGTCTTCTCCAGTGTCTTCTGGGAAACGTAGTCTATCTTGATTGGCCCCCTCCACTCCCCGCTCCCCTCCACACACGCTTGCAAGTGGGTCAGGGGGAAAAAGGACGGGAGGACGCTTCTGCCTCGCTAAGCGGTTTCTAAGCTCCCAGGTTCTGACTGTCTCGCCTTCTGTAACATGGGGTCCTTTCTTCTGATCATGTCTGTCTCTCCCTCCACGGGAGGCCAGCCTTTCATCTCCCTTCCCAGGACTTCTCTGGATCCCGCGCGTGTGTTGTGTGTGTGTGTGTGTTTGCACTTTGCTCTGGGTGAATATGCACGTGCGGTGTCTGGGTGGAGGGTCGGTCAGTTGCTGACACTGTTAATGGTCAAGGGGTGTTCTCCCTCGTTAAGTATGTGACTGAAGTGGTCACACTGGTCTTCTCTGAAGGAGTCTCTGCATGTCGCTCACATGCCGGAGGTGTCTTGTCTCTCACCGTGTGGGTCTGTGCATGCTCTCCCCCCCACCTCTCCACACACACACACACACACACACATACCCCTATGTTTGTTTCTATGTACAGCCGGCCCACCTCCGCACCCTCTTCATTCCCCAAGCTTACAAGAAAACATCCAAACAGTTTAGCATCAGCATCCCAAATTTATTCTCCAGCAGCTGTCTGGGTGGGGGAGGCTAAAGGAAGAGGGTGGGGGAGAAGAAAGTCCCAGAGAGTGGCAGGCACTGCGGAGGACGAGGGGAGTCCGACCAAGGCTGGAGCCATGCACGGGGCAGGAGAGCAGTGATGGGCTCTGGGACATGTCTAGAACAAAGGCTGTCTGACACCAGCCGGGGAAAGAACCCTCCGTGCATGCCAGGAATCCCCAGAGCGTGGAAGGGAGGTGGCCCGGAACACGGAGCCCGGCCTCCCACTTAACTCTACAACTGAAATGGAGGTAGGAGGGGCCTTGAAGGATGCGGGCGGGCGGGCGGATCTGGAATCTTAGTCTGGAGCAGGCAATCTCATGAGACTATTTCCCCCAGGGTGGTGTAGGGGGGAGAGAAGGCATAAAACTACCAAGATGAAGTCTAGAACCCCACACGGAGTAGGGTTTCTGGGAACAGTTGGAACAGCATCCAGATGTTGGGGGCGGGGGGAAAACAAGGCTCGGCACAACGGAATCTAGGACACAGAAAGGCTCTAGAGACTGTATGGCGTTTAAAATGCCAGCAATGCTTGGGAACAGCATCTAGAACCCGTTGGAGGGGTGCGGGAAAGAGGCCAGAAGGCTGGGGTGCGGGACCTAGAATCCGGACTAGAGGTTGGGGTGGGGGTGGGGGTGGGGGCTGCAGCCGGCGTGGCGGTGGGGGGAACTGGGGACACCTAGCGGCGGCAGGTGAGATTACATGACAGGCACGGGCACTGGGCTTGTGGGGCTACGGGCATCTGGGTGCACGAAGTCCGGGTTTACGTAGGTAAAGCCCTGGAAATCCGCTTGGTCGATGCTGGCTAGGACCAGGCGGTCTGGCGGGGTCAATGCTGGCGCCGCCCGCGTGAAGAACTTGTCAAAGTTTTCGCCACTGCGCCCACACTGTGATAGGAACGGATGGGAAAATTAAGCTCTGATAATCAGAACCTATGCACATCCCCGTGGTCTCTGATTCTCCTTTGGGAGCACCTCTGCCGAAGGGTCCCCCCACACCCCAACCTCCACATACAAGTACTGGAGCTCGGGAGCCCCAGCCCCCAGGGATAGAAGCTGGGGTAGCAACTGACCGGACGTGGTCTGAACGGCGGTGCTATCTCCAGTCTCTCCAGCCGCTCCCAGTCGATCCAGCGGAAAAAGCCGTGTGCCCGGATGGTGGGTTCACCGTCTGGCCCTGAGCCCAGGCGCTTTCCCGGGTGCTTGGTCAGGAACTGCGGAAGACACACAGAGAGGGCCTTCCAGATAGCTCCGTGAGCAAAGGCACTTGCCACCATGCCTGAGAGATGGATGACCTGAGTTTAATCCTTAGGACTCACATGATGGAAGGGTAGAAATGACTCTCTAAAAGTGTCCTCTGACATCCACATATGTGTGTGTGTGCGTGTGCATGCATACACACACACACACACACACATCAACAGATAAAAATGCAATTTAAAAATGCCTTAAAATCAAGTGTGGTGGTATAAGGGTCAGAGAGAATAAAAGAGACATAAGAAAAATCCCAAAGAAGGAGGAAGGAGGGAGAGGGAGAGATGGAGGAGAGCTATAAATAGAAGGAGAACTTCTGTGGGCCAGGCACTTTCTTCTGCACCAACTGAGGAAGAAGAAACTGAGGCTCACAGTTTGGGCAACCCATCGAGATCCCTGAAGAATAAAAGTCACAGGAATTGGAGGCAACCTGACCCACCCAGCTCTGGAAAGACCGGCCTCTCCCTTTCAACATTTCCTGCAATGTGCCAGGATGTGGGGACGGCAAAGGATGGCGAGGTAGAGGCCACCCTTGCCCTGGGATGACAGCAAGGTGGCAAAATATTGCTCAAACGTTTGCAGCAGATGGCCGTAAGGAGGTTTGAGTGATAGGAACCTTCTTCTAAAAGAGATGGCAACTGGGGTGTATGGGTTGAGGGTCTGGAGAAGCCGGGAGCTGGGGCTCTCACCCCCTTGCAGATGGCCACAGCTTCCCGGGAAAGCGACTTGGGATAGGTGACAGTTTGTTCCATGATGGCTTGAAACAGCTCCTCCTCATCTTCCCCATCAAAGGGCGGCTACAAAAGTAGGGAGGACAATGTCAGAGCTTGGCAGGCTGCCTTTCCCAAACCTACATCCCTTCAGTATCCACTTCCAACAAACGCACTCTGATAACGTGTCCGCCACCCCCACCCCTACGGATGACTGTCCTGGGAGAACAATTAGAAAACTATCCCACCCTCATCTCCAATTGCCTCTCACACGTGCCCCAGTTCTGTGCCTCTCTCTACTGTCTGCCTGTCTTTTTATGTTATGCAAATCAACAGATTGTTAATTAGGCAATATGTCATCTCATGAGAGAGGGAGGGAAGGAGAGACATACACAGAGAGGGACAGAGACAGAGAGTCACAGAAGGAGAGACTGCCTGGAAATGATTATTCTCACTGAAAGCGGCTCAGTCTTCTGTGGTTAGGAAAGGCAATGCAAAGTAAAAGTTTGTTGTCTTGCTTGCTTATCTGATTGTTTTGAGACAGGATCTCATGTAGCCCAGGCTAGGTAGCCAAAGATGACCCTGAACTCCTAATCCCCTTATGTCCACCTCCCAAGTGCTGGAGTTACAGACATGTAATACTACACACAGTTAACTTTTGAATTTGAAGAATTCCTTCCCATGTGAATACTATGGCTATCACATTGTTCTGGAGAGTGTTGATATGGTTCATCAGACCGCCAAAGAGGTCCACAGGAAAAAGATGAAACAAAAACGGTTAAGACAATGTTTCAGGACCATGGACAGCGCTGCGCTGCCCCCAGCTTCCCAGCAGACTGGCCTGTTTTCTTAGTCTGGACTACCTGTTCTTTCAAGAACAATGCCGCATAAAAAGGGACATCCACTAGGGCCGGGCGGTGGTGGTGCACGCCTTTAATCCCAGCACTTGGGAGGTAGAGCCAGGTGGATCTCTGTGAGTTCGAGGCCAGCCTGGGCTACAGAGTGAGTTCCAGGAAAGGCACAAAGCTACACAGGGAAACCCTGTCTCGAAAAACAAACAAACAAACAAAAAA